GATTGCCTTTAAAAAAAATCGGAATTGAAGAAATGAAGCTATGCATTACAAATGTAGTTTGTTGCTTGCAGAACAAAGTTTTATAATTGTTAGATGAGTAATTTTGGAGTTGTAACTTAGGTTGTGGAAAGCCTTTGAGTTTGGTGAAAACTTGAATAGTATTGGTTGTAGGAGACCCATATTCAAGACCCTTTTTAGCCATAATTTCACTGAAAGTTCTTCGGGTGAGAGCACATGCTATCACTCCATAAGCACCTTAAAGGCTGTCACAAAGAGGAAAATCAAGGCCTCTTCTTGCTGATGCCACAGCGCAGGATATGGAAGAATCAAGCCAAGCTGCCACAACCCAGATTCAGGCTGGACATCAGGAGAAGCTTCCTGACTGTCAGAGCAATGGGACCAGGTGCCTAGAGAGGTGGTGGGCTCTCCTATACTGGGGACATTCAAGGCAAAACTGGGCAGCCCTCTGAGTGGGATGGAGTGACTTGGTGTCCTGCAGCAGCAGGGGGCTGGACTGATGGCCTTCTGGCCCCTTCCAGCTCTGCTGCTCTATGTGTTCTAATTCGGTGATGTCAGGCTTGCGTCCCACAAGGTGTGACCAGGAGTCCCTCTGGGCCAGCATTCTATTGCCAGCAGGGGCGAGCTCGTTAGGCGTGTCCTCTGCTGTTGTGGCCAAAAGACTGGCACAAAGGAGGCGACTGCAAGAAGGCAGGGCAGGTCTGCAGGAATCTTTGTGGCGCCTCCTCACTGCCTCTCCCTGGAGCTGCTCTTGCAATCCGTGGCCAAACTCGGCAGCTGTTGGCCGCTGGAGGAGCTTCCCGGTCAAACATGTTTGGTCATGTAATTCCTATTAATTGCGTCTGGGAAATCTTCTAGAATTCACCAGCAAGGTAGCCTAGTATGTATTCCGGAGAGCAGTGAGTGCGTGATTCCGCGAGTATCTTTGATGGTGCCGAGGAGGGACTATTTCTGATGAGCAGCTTGCCTGCAGTTGTTGCTTGGAAGAGAATTAGGAAGAGAATTAGGAAGAGAATTAGGAAGAGAATTAGGAAGAGAATTAGGTCATCTGCACCTACTTAGGTCATCTCTGGCCAGGCTTCATGGTGTGGAGCACATGATGAACCAGTCTGACATAGTCCAATCCTACGCTACCCTAACTTACTTGGTGAGCCTGGGAGTTAGCTCTCTGTGCATAGGACGGACGGATGGACGGACAGATGGATCCCCCCTGCAATGGCAAGATGTGGCTCTGCAACAGCTTCTCCGTATGTGTTGCCGCTCCCTGGCGCTGATCGCTGCGGTAACACTTCCACCTCCAGTCTTCAGACCGCCTCCCTTCACAATGACAGTTTAACTCCTTAGCAGTTAGTTCTTTTGTGCGCGTTCCTTGCCATCACGCCGGCAAAGCCAGTGGCTTGGGAACTTTCAAAACGTTGGAGCTTGCAGTTGGCTTTATTTACTGTGATGTTGAGAGGCCTGTTAGAAACACTTCTTTGCCCACTGGAAAAAATGAGTGCCGTGTGGAACACAAAGGAGAGCAATATTGTACAAAGTAAAACCAGGTTCGTGCTAGAACACTAATAAAATAAGAAAGGAGAAAATATTAAAGGGACAAATTCAAATGGGGCTCTTCCACTTGCAGTTTTGGGCCTGCAGTACCAGGTCCCCGAGAGCCGCGGAGCAGGCCTACCCCTCCTCATTGTCCCGGTGGGAAGGACCCTTGAACTAAATAACGAGCTCCGTTGTGCATTGCACGTGTGGGAAGCAGCCTTCAAAAGGTGAGCGCACAGAGGAGCATCAATGTTTGATAACGACAGGATTGTCTTTTTATATTCTGCCGTGTAACACAGATTTAAATGAATTTGCTGGTAATTTGTCTTCAAATGCTGACATTTAACTTTCGGGCTGTATAAATGAACGGGCTTTTTCAAGAGTAAAATTCATGCCCTGCGTCCAGACTAATATGTTCACCTCCTATAAACATTACTGCCGATGGTTACAACTGGCATAAAAAATTCCTTTTATGTACATCCTCATCCCTGGCAAAGGCTCCGGAGACCACCACAAATCATTTCGGGCTTTTTTGGTGTGCGCACCGACAAAACACTGAACTATAAAACTGCCCGAGTTCCACGGCTGTCGGCTCAGAAATGCAATTAGCTTCTTTAAACTCCTGTTTGGGCCATCTTTTTGTTTCAAGCAAAGCAGAGGGGTTTCCAGGAGCTCTCCTTATTCGGAATGAATCTAAGACGAGTCCTTCCGTTGGTCCAGTTGGATCAAAGGGAAGATGCCTGGGGGCGTCTGGCAAAGTTGGGCTCCCTGCTCAGCCTGCTGCATTCGCGGGGAAGCAGCCTGCTCGCCGGGGAGGGAGTGAAGACTCGGAGCAGCCCGCTGCCTTGCCTAGTGCCCATCCTCTGCTCTTTCTGAGTGTCCAGATGGCATCTGGAGAAGCCCTCTGATAGCAGACAAGCTGGTGCCTTATTGTGCCGTTACCTGCTTTGTTGATTTGTCTGCAGGCTTCAGTGCTTGCCCATAAACTGGGAAGCCAGCAGAGGAGGTGGCTGCAGAAGAACCTCTGCGTGCGGTCGTAGGCGGCTGCGGCGGCCATCCCGGCTGGTCTTCGTCCTGCCCCTGACTGAGCCAATGCAATGGCCTTGCGGTGGTGGAGGGCCAGTGCAGAGAAGCTGCGACTCCTCGAAGTCTTTGTTCAGCCTCCCTTTCCCCTTTTAGGGTTACAACCGAGATTAGCGAAGTGGTGGCTTCGGTTTCTAGAACTCTGATGGGAGTCACCCACCCTTTTCTTCACGCATGTTAGCAAACGTTTGATTTTGCTATAGCCAAAAGGCACAGTGGATCCCCAAATCAGAACAGTTTGCAACCTGAAGAAGGGCTGTGCTTGGTCCCCTTCCTTACGAGTCGCCTGTTGTTGTTCGCCTCTGCTTGGAGCAACCCTTGCGGACAGCGAGCCCTTGCCCTGCCTGCATGCATAATTAAAAGCAGAGAGGTGGGGGGGAGTAAAAGGCAGGGGGGATGCCAAGTAAATGGTTTACCATGTTAAATGAGCAAGGGATGGAATTGTATAGTGACAGGTGAAGAGCCAATTCATCTCCTCCCGGAATTTCAATGCTGCACGCGAGGCAGGACGCTTTTGCTCACATCCTCCGAAATGCCACCGTGTGCCGCTTCTCTAGATCACTGTCCAAAACTTGTCGTCGGGCTCGGGAAGGCCTGCCAGGCTGCGCCTGCATCGAAGCCACGGGGAGTTTGCAAAAGGCTTTGCGTTTGGGAACGTAGTCAAGCAAATTGATGACCACGCTGGCCGCCGATGAATAAATCATCCGCACTGAGCTTGTTTGCATCACGGTGCGCATTCTGCCTGTCTCCATTCTTCTTGCATCCGTTGATTGAATTAGGATGCTTCGCTCCACCCTGCCCTTTGCACCTGCCTCCTGCGAACCTCGGAGCAGGGAGATGGCGGGGGAGACACTGGCCAAGAGCGGTGCTGAGGGGTGGGGCAAATTGCTTGTTCACTGCCATGCCATGCCCTGCCCTGCTCTACAAGTCCGAATGGCTTGACCGCACACAGGGTGAGCCTCTAGGAAGGCCGTCCCAGAGTTGGGGTGCCCTATTGAAACGGCTTCCTTACGTAAGCTCCCAGGGGCCCCTGGAGCGGCGCCTCTAGGGCTGTGCGTGCCCAGGCGGGCATTGGTGGTGGCGGGCGGTCTCTCGTGAACTCTGGTCCCAAGCTGTAACCAGCCCGGAAACAGACAGGGTGCCAGTGCCGCAGGTGAAAGGACCCCTGCGTGTAGAGGATGGTGAGCTGGCCGAGCGGCTCCCCTGAAGGCCTGTGAAGCACCTTTTCCTGATGGGAGGATTATGGGTGCGTGGCGGCCTGGGAGGAAGCAGGCCGACATGGTTGGCAAGCGAGTCAAGGGACTCGTCAGTGGTCCAGGAATTCCGGGAAGGCAGGATGTCGGTGGCCATATCTCTTGAAAAAATGTCATTGCACTGCAATTTCTTGCTGGAAGTGGGGGCTGCTCACCTGCCCACCCCGGGGCAGCTGGGGCAACCTAGCAGCATAGCAGGGCAGATGCCACCGGCCACCTGCTGCGGCTGAAGGAATCTCTGAATGGGAACACCCGCAGTCGCCAGTCACAGGGGCCACTGCTAAGGACGGCCTGCAGTGCAGCGACTTGGGAGTTTGTTTGCTCAAAGCCAATGACGATCTGACCTGCCTACTGCGTAGTGGAATTGTCTTGAAAAACTGACTTTAAAAATACTTAGCCGTATAAAAAGTTGCTCTTACTTTGCTTTACTTCTCCTTTAGTTTCATCTCCTTTAAATTTTAAAACTGCAGGCTTGGGCCCTAGGGGTTCAGGAAGAAAGCAAAAGAGAAGAACTGCAGTGACCATTCACATTTATAGAACCACTAGCCAGTGTTGTTAAAAGTTCCAGTGACTTTTGTTAAAAGTTATTTTTTTCACAGTAAGTTAACTACTTCTGGTCTTTAGGATTTTGATGATTAAATCATCTGTTTTAAAATAACTTGGCATTATTTTGACAGGTCACATACCAACCCTGTGTGAATGATATTATGGGAAGTATGGATGCCAAGAACTGAAGATGCATGAAGGGTAGGGAAAAGTGAATATGTTGCCCAGCAGCCTGCAAAAGAGGAACGCCAATAAGCTCAGTCTGGAATTCTCCACATGGCTAAATCTGCAAAGCAACATTCTGGAATATTGGGCTATGCATATGGGGCCGCCTTTAGTTTGTATTATAGGTGGTAGGAAATGCATCCTTTGGATTAAGGCAGTGATAGCATAACATACTCTGAGAAAGATTTTGGCGCTCTGAAGTTGTCTTTCCCTCCATGAGTTCTGACTGAAGTCTTATCCGGGTGGCCGAACAAGTTAGCCGCAGAACGAACGGGGATGCATTTGCCTGTATCCCCCACCTCTTCCATGAGCAGCACTTTTGTCCTTAACTCGCTCTCTCACCCCTGCAGCAGCAGTACAGAGAGTGCCAGGAACTTTTGAGCCTTTATCAGAAGTACCTCTCAGAGCAGCAAGAAAAGCTAACCCATTCCCTTTCGGAGCTTGAAGTTGCCAAGCAGAAAGAACAACAGGTAAGCTGCTTCGCATCCACACAGCCGCTTCTTGCTCTCTTTGGAGGGTGGTTACTCCCCTGTCAGATGGCGCTCCATGGCCTGGGTTGGTGTGAGTGCGTCCCCGTTGATCTTTGCCTTCTTGTGGGGCTCAGTGGACAAGCCCATGTGGAGAAAAGCATCTCTGGATCAGGAAGACCGTGAAGTCATTGATCAGGATGGGGCACACAGGGAACCTGTAGATTCGTTCCTGGGTGGAACGGATGAGTTGTGTCATCTTCCTGCCTCTTTCCTGGGAGTCATGGCTTTATTTTAACTCTGCTGGCTTTATTTTATCTTGTTGTACTATTTTAATCATTACATTTCTACACTGCCCAATAGTTGGAGCTCTGCTTATAGGGTTTATATCCTTCCTTTCTGTTTTGCCTCCAGGGGGCTAAAAATGACAGCACACAATGGAGAATAGTGCAAGGTTAAAGGGGATAATGAAATCATCAGATAAGGTATCATCCAGCAAACAAACCATTAATTGCGGAGGAGGCTGCCTTTCATAAAAGGGACCAGATAACGTTAAAATTTGAGACTGTCTGACGCTCAGGGAACATGTTCAGCAGTTTGGGTGCCAGAAGAAATGTCTCTCACCTGCTTTACCTTACTGTGATGTGAGCTTTCTGTAGCTTGCAGCCTATACCCTTGGGTGCATGAAGCACTGAAGGAGTGGGCTTGCAAGGTGCTAGGTACGACCTCATGAAAATCATAATTTTTGTAAAACAAGCTTTTTAAAGTGGATGCAAGCTGAAAGGGGAATGGACGAAGGTGAATTCGGTCAGAAAAGTAGGCTTTTGGTTTAATGGGTAGCTTTCCTCACTCAGACCACCCGTTAGCTGACACCTGGGATTTTGAGTCTTTACTGCTGCACATTTTGCCTGTACCCTGAAAACCAAGTCAAAATATCAATGTCAAAACTTTCTGTAGCGTTCCAGAGCAGCCACGGGGAGCTGTATACAGTTTTGGAGGAAGCTCTCAGGTGCGGTATTCCAGGGATGGGTGGGACTGAAGGTGAAAGACCAAAAACAAGACCTCGCGTAGTTTCATGCGGCTCCTGTCAGCAAGTCAGTCTTTGGAGAGGCGTTTCAGTCTTTTAGAATGGCAGTGGGAAACTGCCTCAGGGCCAGGAAATTGCCATGCAGGTGGTGGGGGAAAGGAGACATGGCTGATGAGCGGACCACGGCGAACTAGCTTTGGCTCGATGGCCTGCCGTTCCACACCCCTGCTCTGGCATCTGGAGGAAAGGTTCTCTCTGCCGCTTTGGAAGGATGGACAAGCGACAGTGGATCAACTCCTGTTCTTTGTAACAATCGCAAGACTGCACCGTGTTACTCTGGGCATTAGTCACTTACTGAACTGTGAGTCTGAAACCTAATTTTGTTGGTGCACGGAAGAGTGGCCTGATAAGGGGCCAGAGCATGAAGCATGCGAGAACCGGGCTGGCGTGCTGGTGGTTAGAGCGTTGGACTGGAGACCTGGGAGGGCTGGCTTCTGGTCTCCGCTTGGCCACAAAGCTCTCCAGCTGCCTCTGGGCCTGTCACTCGCGCTCTCGGCCTAACTATCTCACAGGGCTATTGTGGTGTGGACAAAAGGGAGGGTAAGATCACTGTTTAAAATGCCTTGGGGTCCTTGTAGGAGGAAGAAAGTCGGGATATAAACATAATGCAAATGATCTTAACTCACCTGTGCTCTTCTGCTATTGGCCTTATTGTCTTATTGAAATATGGCCATTTAATGGCTTGCTTTTGTGGTTTTTACTTCATAGACCGCCCAGAGAGCCTCGGGGCTGTGGGGCAGTGTAGAAGTGAAAAAAAAAAATGAATGAATATTCCTTTGGGAATGGCAGGCCTTTGAAAATCAAGGGGTTCCAACTTGGCTCAGTCTCTTTCGCCTGCATTTATGATCTTGTCCAAGTCGCTTCTCCCTCTAAGGACTCGGATGCCTGAAGGCACGCCTGCGTCCATATCTGCCCTCCCACCCCTTGAGATTGGCGGCAGAGGCTCTCCTCCAGGAGCCCTCCATGAAGGACATCAGCAGGCTGAGTACCCGGAGGAGGGCCTTCTCTGCAGTGGCGCCCCACCTATGGAACGCGCTCCCCAGAGAGGTCCGCCTGGCGCCGTCATTATTTGTTTTTCGGCGCCAGGCCAAGACCTTTTCATTTAAAACTTATTTTAATTGTTAACTTATTTAATTAATAGGATTTGAAATTTTTAGTCAAGAATGCACCGGGGGTTTTTAAACATTTTTTTAAATTTGTTGTACTGTTATTATTTATGTATTTTATGCATTTCTGTATTCTTTGTGAGCCGCCCCGAGGCTTTGTTGCGATGGGGGCAGCATAGAAATGTTTTAAATAATAATAAATAAATAAATAAATTTCAGAAGTGATTCACTTTAAACTGGTACAGTATGATTGAGGTTTTGAGGTCTATCGCGTCAGCTTCTGAAGCTGGGTTTTTCCTTCACGATTGTCCCTCAGCATGACTGGAATTGTCCGCTCCGTCACCACGCGGTTGATGCCACTGTGTTGCGAACAGGCTCCCTTTGCATGATCCCACAGTGCCGCCAACCCCGGGTGGAACCTGGCAGGACGTGAGCTCTGTCACTGCTGTTGTGGCCCGGCACAGAATTCCGGTGCCTTGACCTTTGATTTCAGAGTCTAGTCAGAGGCCTGTTTTGTGAAATACTAAATTTACAGTTAGTTCAGAGCAGAAAGTATTGGAAAGCTGTGATTTTCTTACAGATGGCTATTTCGTGCAGTTTGGTTTGTAACATGACTCTTACGATGCAAGTCTACTTCCGAAGTCCTCTCCAAGCTCAGCTGAGCCAGATCCCCACATCACATGTGGCACCACCGATCTGAACGGCCCCACATGTGGCCAAAGCAACTCACACTGTTTTGTGAGTCGTTATGGATCCTCCTCTGAACTTTCTTTCAGGTGCCAGGAGAATGGAAAGCAGTGTGCAGTTCTGTTGGCTGTGAGACTTCCCCTTGTCACTGCCACCAATCAGGTGCAGTGCCGTAGACACAAAAGGACCTTTAAGATCAAGGCAGGGCTGTGCTGGGGAAAGGAAGGGGACTAGATAATATGCAGGTGAAAGCTTGTGGGCAGGTGCATGCATTGTGGACGGGGCGGAAGATGTAGTGCAGAATCCCGTTTTTTCTGGCCATGGATTCGTGTGGTCCCCTTTCAACAACTGAAAAAACTTCACCGATGAGTATCCATTTCTAATCCTTGTTCAAGCCATGAGAAACGCCATGTCCAAACTGCTATTGATGGTGGTACTGACACTTGGGTAAGAATTCTGCACAAATAAAAAACAGTTCCTCTGAAACCCCATCTTTTAGTCCAAAACATGAACCCAACACATCTTGGCTTCAGCTTTACTTGATAGGTCTCTGGGATCTGGAAGAATCTTTCATCAGTGGACGGAGCTGAGATGGAATGGCCATCAGTTCACAGCCTGGCGCTTCCATTCTGAATGTCCATCTTGGCTTGAGCGCTGCAAAGTTACTGAGGAAAATGGTGCTGAGATGATTTAAGACGGAGCCCTTGTGGAGTCAATAATCAGTAACTGGAACGTGGCGCTTCCTTTTTTGTGTGTGAGATAAAGTTAATTCCATTTGAAAAGATACTTAAGGTGACATGAATTGAATTATTCAAACCGGCTTTCTCAGCATTAACTCTAGGTTAATATCTCATGATGCCTCTGGTTTCATTATAGGAGTTTTAAGTACATAACTTTTTATAATAAATTCAATACTGAGGAGCTGGGCTGAAATTGGTTTACTTTCTAGCGAGCCATAAAAAAGCAGCATTAATTGTAAAGTGAATATTAAAGTGGTCACTGAAGTTGACTCAGACAGATGCAGAGATAGCCCTTGTGATGAGATATGTGGAGCAATATGTTTCTGACCTGACATTAATAGAAAATACCATCGATATTAAAATGTAGTTAAATCGCTTCCATCAAGAAGGATTTTAGACAGTCTCTTGGCTACTCCCAATTGTACTTTCTGTGCCGTTTTTCACAAAGCTTTACTCAGATGTAAAGAAAATTGCCCTTGTTCTAGGTAATCAGCTCTGACCTAATTATACAGTCTTTGCTTCACTGCCGTAAGAAACAGTGGAAAGAATCCAATTTATTTTGGCGAGAAATTGTGGAAACGCTCTGCAACTTGGAGGACCTGTGCTCGTGACTGCTGTGTTGTTTCAGGCTGAACTTCTGCAAGGGAAGAGAGCTCCCGAGTCTCCCATGAAGGGAGGGCGAAATCCTTCATCACCAGGCCATCTTCTTGGTACGATTCTGTTATTTGTGAGCCCGGCTGGCCTTTTACGTTTCTTGCTTATGTGGACTTCCCACTTCACCTGCAGAACCCTTGTTTGTGGCTCAACAGGAAACAGGAAAAACTAATGGAACGGCTCCACACACCCCTTTTCCCCCAAACTGAATTGTTTTTTATTTAAAAACATAAGGTAAAAATGGGCAAAGCTTTGGAAGGGTGGCAAGCGCGCCACAGTCTCAGAAACTGGCCGGGGGCTTGGGGTGAGCCTTCACGTATGGGACCGTGTAGCAGAGGAGAAGTGAGTGACCCAGTTTGCGTGATGCCCACGATGAACCGTGGAGCCTGTGCTTGAGGCTCGTGGTGTCCGGCCATCCCAGGGACCATGGGAGGCCAGGCTGCGGGGGAAGAGTACAGGCAGGGAGCGCAGGATGGCAGGGATGGCGTCGGGAAGGCCGGCGCTGGGAATGAGCTGAGGCAGCAAGGGATGCCAGAAGCAGCAAGAAGCCTTCTTCAGATATGTGCAAAGTAAATGACACAGGAACGAAATGGGGATTCGGCTACTCCATGTGGGTGGCAAAATGAGAACAGATGTCAGAGGAAAGGCGGAAGTGCTCAATTCCTACAACGTGAGTTTCTCAACAAATCCTGCCAGACTATTCTGATTTCTTTCCTCCTCCTCCTCCTC